TGTTGTGGTCCTGGGGGCTCTGTTGCGGTCCTGGGGGCTCTGTTGGGGTCCTGGGGGCTCTGTTGTGTCCTGGGGGCTCTGTTTGGGTCCTGGGGCCTTTGCTGGGTTCCTGGGGCCTTTGCTGGGTTCCTGGGGCCTTTGCTGGGTTCCTGGGGCCTTTGCTGGGTTCCTGAAAGCTTCGCTGCTGTTTTGGGGTCTTCGCTGGGGTCCTGAAGGCTTTATTGGGGTCCTGGGGCTCTGTTGCGGTCCTGGGGGCTCTGTTGGGGTCCTGGGGGCTCTGTTGTGTCCTGGGGGCTCTGTTTGGGTCCTGGGGCCTTTGCTGGGTTCCTGGGGCCTTTGCTGGGTTCCTGAAAGCTTCGCTGCTGTTTTGGGGTCTTCGCTGGGGTCCTGAAGGCTTTATTGGGGTCCTGGGGTCTTTGCTGGGGTCCAAGGGCTCTGTTGGGGTCCTGGGGGCTCTATTGGGGTCCTGGGGGCTCCGCTGGTGTCCTGGGCTCTCTGTTGGGTTCCTGGGGGCTCTGTTGGGGCCTTGGGGGCTCTGTTGGGGTTCTGGGGGCTCTGTTCATGTCCTGAGGGCTCTGTTGGGGTCCTGGGAGCTCTGTTGGGGTTCTGGGGGCTCTGTTCGTGTCCTGAGGGCTCTGTTGGGTTCCTGGGGGCTCTGTTGGGGTTCTGGGGGTCTTTTGGGTTACTGGGGTCTCTGTTCGGATCCTGAGGGCTCTGTTGGGGTCCTGGGGCCTTTGCTGGGTTCCTGGGTGCTCCGCTGGTGTCCTGGGGTCTTCTCTGGGGTCCTTGGGGCTCTGTTGGGGTCCTGGGGTCTTCGCTGGGGTTTTGTGGGCTCTGTTGTGGTCCTCGGTGCTCTGCTGGGCTTCTGTGGTCTTCGGTGGGGTCCTGGGTGCTCTGTTGTTGTTCTGGGGGCTCTGTTGGGGTCCTGGGGTCTTCGCTGGGGTTTTGTGGGCTCTGTTGTGGTCCTCGGTGCTCTGCTGGGCTTCTGTGGTCTTCGGTGGGGTCCTGGGTGCTCTGTTGTTGTTCTGGGGGCTCTGTTGGGGTCCTGGGGTCTTCGCTGGGGTTTTGTGGGCTCTGTTGTGGTCCTCGGTGCTCTGCTGGGCTTCTGTGGTCTTCGGTGGGGTCCTGGGTGCTCTGTTGTTGTTCTGGGGGCTCTGTTGGGGTCCTGGGGTCTTCGCTGGGGTTTTGTGGGCTCTGTTGTGGTCCTCGGTGCTCTGCTGGGCTTCTGTGGTCTTCGGTGGGGTCCTGGGTGCTCTGTTGTTGTTCTGGGGGCTCTGTTGGGGTCCTGGGGTCTTCGCTGGGGTTTTGTGGGCTCTGTTGTGGTCCTCGGTGCTCTGCTGGGCTTCTGTGGTCTTCGGTGGGGTCCTGGGTGCTCTGTTGTTGTTCTGGGGGCTCTGTTGGGGTCCTGGGGTCTTCGCTAGTGTGCTGGGGGCTCTCTCTGTTAATGTCCTGGGGTTTTGTGGGGGGTCCTGGGAGCTTCGCTGGTTTCCTGGGGGCTTCTCTGGTGTCTTGTGGACTCTGTTGGGTTCCTGGGAGCTTCGGTGGGGTCTTGGGGCCTCTGTTGGGGTCCTGAGGTCTTCGCTGGGTCCTGGGGCCTTCTCAGGGGTCCTGGGGGCTCTTTTGGTGTTCTGGGGACTTCGCTGTGGTTGGGGGCTCTGTTGGCGTCCTGGAAGCTCTCTTGGGATCCTCGGGTCTTCGCTGGGTTCCTGGGGGCTATGTTGGGGTTTTGTGGGCTCTGTTGGGGTCCTGGGGGCTTCGCTGGTGTCCTGGGGGCTCTGTTGGGGTCCTGGGGGCTTTTCTGGGGTCCTGGGGTCTCTGTTGAGGACCTGGGGGCTTTGTTGGCGTCCTGGGAGCAACAAAGAGCGAAACACTTGCAAGACCTTCTGCTGAAGTATTCCGTTATTTTAAACCATAAATACCGTGAGAACAGGCTTCACTGTAAGCTTTTTTCTATTCCTTCTTGTATTCAGGAAACCTTACAAAAATCAATCACATTTTTTGCCATTGCGTCTGCAAAAGGCGCCGGGCAAAGCCGACGCAGGCTGCCACGGCCAGCGTGCCGTGGAAGGGATGGGATTTTCGGCACCGATTTCTCCTCGCCGGGTTTCCCACCTGCACCTTTTTCAGAGACGGTCCTCTGACCGCTCCCAGCCTTCAGCTGACAAACAGAAATCCGAAATGAAACAGCCTGTTCTGGATGGATCGCAGAGGTCGGGGGTGTCTCTGTTGTGTAGCCCTACACAGCTGTTAATCACCAAAGTATCTCTGGCTCCCAGCAGCTGTCTGGTGTTTATCTTAGCCTGGATATCTCCTGGCCGAGCCCACGGAGAGCAGGCTGTGCAGCCAAGCCAAATACGAACGGAAGATAGATAATTCGCACACAAGGGCGTGCACATGTGTTTTGTGCGCGTACGTATGCGTGTGCATGTACACGGAGGCTTTGTGTGTATCCCGCGGCGGCGGCTGGAAGTGCACGTCGGAGATTTTTGCTGGAAATGAACATGTGACGTTGTGGGTGCGTTGGTACACGCCAGAAGGGAAGCCCAGTGCCTGTGCGTTGTACAGGTGGTTTAGGTGGGTGCATCCAGGTGCATGTCTGTGACTCAGAGAAGATCTCTGGCACAATATTTCCCCGTGCTTTCTCTAAGGCTTACGATGCTTTTTAGATAAAGTGGAAAAATACAGGGCTTCCCAGTCTTCCAGTATCAATCGGCCACGGAGACTTTGAAGTGTCTCTAAAAGGCAGTTCCCTGGGCCATCTGTGACTGTTTGGGACGCAGGGAGGAGGAAGAAGGCTAACAAAGCAAACTGTCCCACCTGCAGCAGAGAAGGTCAACCTGGTGCCTCCAATTAGCCTGTCCTCACAGGTGGGTGAGGGCAAGAAGTTTGTATAAATAAGGCTCAGGGGAGGCTCCCTTTTTTGGAGAAGAGATGAGAGAAGTAGCTTTGTGGGCTTGCTTCATGTTCTTTTTGTGGTAAGAAGCTTGTGATGACCTAGGAGATGAAAGTCTTGAGGAGTATGTGAGTGTATTATACCCTGTTTTTTCTGAAAACTTATATATATATTTCTTTTTTTTTCCCTCCTCCTGTTTCCAGGTCTTTTCTGTAGCAGTCAGAGTGTCATGAATTGCAATGTGGCAGCTTGGTGCAGCGGAGAAAGTTCTGGCTGGGTCAGAGCTGCTGCTTGTGTGATAAGGTAGGATTTGGGTGAACTTACAGGATGGTGGGAACTCACCGGAGTTGTCTTTTAATGAATTGTTAACTGTGAGTGTCTGGAGAAGCACCAGGTTCTGTTGCTGAATGATGTGAAGCTTCAAACTAAAGGGTTTGCAGTTTTTGTGTACCTAGCAGTTGGTTGGGTATTTAATGTTGTTTTGGGAAGACTGCTGAAGGTCCTCCTTGCTGCTGTCTCTTCCCTGAGGTTTCAAAGGCTGGCAGGCATGGAGAGTTACAGAAACTGGCTGGACAGTATGTTGTGTGCTTTGGACTGTTGTGGACCCTGAGGGAGGTTGAAATTTCCCTGTTTCTGACACCGAGCTCTTCAGGGTCGCCTGCACAGGAGAAGCTGCAGTGCTGGCTTTTGGAGGCTGCGTTTTTTGGTAGGTGGGAAGCCGGAGGCCTGTGCTGAGCTGTGTTTTGGGCTGTGCGAGGCTGAGTGAGGGGGTGTGCATTTACTTATCCCTAGCTTGCCTCTTGCTCTCTGAGTACAGTGAGTGCCTTGCATAGAGATTGTGCAACAAAAGCCAGGGCTTCTTCCAAAGCAGTTCAGCTTTCTTGGCTGTGAATGCCCAGCTTGCTTTCAGGTCCAACTCTGGTATTTATCAATTCACTTGCTGCAGATCCTGGTAACAGGCACAGCTGTCCTTCCCTTCTGCCTAGAGCACCCACTTCCTTCTGCCTTACCTCATCCTGCAATTGCTGTCCCCCAGGGCACCCTGGGCTGCAGCAGCCTGTACATCTGTCCTGCCTTCCGTGCACGCAGCAAAGCCTCAGAGGATAAAGGAATGGGAGAGAAAGAAGCCAGTTGCCCAGGAGTAGTGTTCAGGCAGAAACATGTTTGTGTTACGCACCTGGAGACAGCGGGAGCGAGCCTGTGGTATGGGAAGAAGCAGTGTGGGGAGCTGGGGCTGAAATGAGGGTAGCAGGGTGTCAGGATGCTTCTGCGGGAGGCTCGGTGAAGAAGAGTAGTTGCAGGAGAGAGGCTGTAGTGGCTCCTGTTCTCACCAAAACCGGCAAACCCTCGTGTTCTCTACACAGAGCCTTTGCTGTAGGTGAGAGACTGCTCCAAAGGGAGACACCAGCTTTCTGGAAGGCAGAGGACAGGAAGGGAGGAGTTCATCTGGACCAGACTCTCTAATAACGAACTAGTCAGCTGTTTCTTAATGTGCTGAGAGGATGTGGGAGCCCGTGGGCTTGCTGAAATGTGTGTGCAATGATTGCTGCTATCTGAAGAGCCAAGAGTCCGTAATAGTGGGGATGCAGTCCCCATCCTCTCCCCAGTGAAACACCATGTGTAACTTCGAGCCAGGAGGGGCAGGGTGTTTTGGATGGCCACACACCAGGGTTAATATGCTACCCTGGAGAGGAGAGTAGAGATGGCGAGGGTTCAGTGCTGGAGAAACACTCTGCACGGGAAGAGTGCTGTGCATTAGGGAAATGATGGTGGGAACAGCTCAGGAGGCATCTTGATGACAGGCATAGCCTAGAACTGTGTCCGCTGTGGGGTTTTTCTTCTTGCAACCTTATTTCCAGCTTTGTAATGAGGAGCGTAACCTCTGGCTTTGCTTCATCAGATGTGCTTGCAGCAAAGCTAAATAGAGCTGACAGATGGGGGCTCTGATTTCTGTAGAGCTAGTGCAGTGTGAAGGAGGTATGGAGGCATGTCTATAGAGTTCTGATGCTCAGGATGTGTCTGGGCATCTGTGGGGCTGGTGATGGTGGTGCCAACAGACTGGTGTGTTAGCCTGGGCCCCTTCCGACCCCAGAGGCACCTAAAATCTTGAGGGAAGTTCCCAAGCTTCTGTGTCTTGGCTTGGGTCCTGTAGGAGCAGTGGGGTGTAGAGAGTGGCCAAGCACTGCCACTGAGACAGCCCCTGCCAGCCAGGGAGCGGAGGGAAAGTGGAACAATAACATTATCCCCTGGTAATGGCTTAAAATTGGAATCAGCTGCAAGGCTCCATCCCACCTGCTGCAAACTGAGGGGCTGGGAAGACCTGCCTTGAAGGCTGCGGAGTAAGGCGATATGCTGAGAAAATAGTCTGTTCTTAACTGCCTGAGTGCTGCTGCTCTTCCTCAGCTTCCCACGCAGTCCTCTGTGACTACTGCCAGCGTTTATCACCTCAGTCACCAAGCCCCATTCCAGCCTGATGTGCAGAGACAGACCTCTGTCCCTCCCTTGGTAAGGGGTGTCCCATGCAGGACCTGCTAGCCGGGTGCTGTTGTTCATGTTTCTGGTCAGCTACCCCCCTGCCCTTGTTGTCTTAGGGAGAACAAGCCAGGGTCGTAGCCCAGCTGTGGTCGGTGGGGGTCCTGTGGATATTTGTCTCAAAATCCCGTCTTCCTTGCTGATCTATTGAGCTTGGGCTGTTCCTGGTCCCTACATGTTCAGGGAGCAGATGTCCTGCTCTTCATCTTCTCGATGTCCCTTTGTTGATGTTTGCTGTTAGCTGAGGACAGCTGGTAGCCCATTGTGCCAGTTACCATGGGAAGACAACACACTCTCCATAAACAGAGACAGGGGCATTGTTGCCTGCTTTAATGTGCTCTGATTTAAACAAAACTGTGTTTGCAAGTTAATTGAGTGGATTTTGTTGCAGGAGACAGTAACTCCCTGTAGTCAGAAAGGGTGTTTTTTTTGTGGAGGGGATTCTGGCTTTGAGTTAAGCTTGCAGGTTGAGCTGGGCAACTCTTACCAGCAGAGCCTATATGGAAATGTATATGAGCCCTCCTGTGCCAGCAGGTTCTACAGGCACCATGTCACCTTCCTGCAGCACTGTGAACTCCAGCAGGGCTCCACTGATGCCTGGAGGAGGGGGACTTCATGCTGGAGTCCGCTGGCACAAGTCCCAGTCAGGATCAAGGTCACTTCTATTGACCTGAGCTGCATTCAAAACAATCACTTAGGTGTGAAAAAATCCACTGCCTGATCCCTGTTCCCTGGGCTCCTTAGTCCCCACCCAGTGTATTTTAAAAATATGCTTAATGAGCTGTCATTTTGGCTAGGGCTGACTTGGCGATTTAAGGATGGTGGTAACAATGAGACCACAAAGTCCAGGCAGAGGAAAAGGAGTGAGGGGCTTTCTGCTGCCTTTCCC